GGGTGGCGTTGCGGGGGGGTGGGGGCGGGGGAGTGGGGGTGGGGTGGTGGTGCACTCACAGGATGTCTCCCAGGGCAGCCAGCTGCTTCTCGGCCACTTGGCGTTCTCGGAGAGGGTCGCCGTCCAGGTCCAGCAGGTCATTCTCACCGTACAGACTGCCCAGCCCCAGGGTGCGCTTCGTTCTAAGACAGACAAAGCAGGCGCACACGTGTCTCACAGACGCCCGGAAACAGCGAGGCAAATGCGCTCACGAGAGACGCTCGTCACAGGGGACAGACGGGTGAGGACGCAGAGGGAGCAGGGGGGACCCACAACCTGTAGTCCTGGATCTGCTCCTGGATCTCGGGCATGGCCGCCTCCTGGGCTTCCCGGAGGGCAGCGCGGACGTCCTCGCTGCTGCGCAGACGTGAGTCTGGTGGGAACCCAGGGAAGGAGAAATGGGGTGTCGGGAGAGGGGGCCATGCCTGCTGAGCCCCGAGTCCTGGACCCACCAGGCCACTCCCGAATCCAGGACTGGACTCCTGTTGTCCAGGTCCCAAGGCAAGCACAAAAACATTTTCTGGATGTTTGAGGCTCTGTTATGTGGACAAATGAAACCCCGTCTATGATCAGATGGGCCCAGGGGCTGCCCTCTGATGCCACAGTGCAAACCCCTCATTCTTCGTGGCCACCGGGCCAGGGCGCGAGGCCGAGAAAGACAAGCACTTCACATGAAGCCCCGACTCCCCAGCGGAACCTGGACGGTGTCGGTCCCGCTCCCCCAGCAGCTTCACGCGGTCGAGGGACTCTACCCTCTGGCCTCAGGCCACAAAGCACGCTTCCCGAAGGCAGCGTGGGACGCCTGTTCTCTAGAAAGCTGCCTGGGACCCGCTTCTCAGGCTGACACCCTCTTATGCCGCCTTCCCTCAGCTCTCCTATCACGACTAGAGAACGAGATGGGGACAGAGCAATCATTGGCCGGCAGGGTCCTCACCGGGCCAAACGCCGGCAGCATCAGAGAGGAATTCACAGAAACAAAAATACTCCAGAGATCCCGACCCGAGGTGGGATGGAGTGAGGCCCCGGCTTCTGGAGTTTCAAGAATTCCCCCAGGGATTCTGGTGATCGACCAGGCTTAGGAATCCCTCAAGTCCAACTGCCCTTTCGTACAGATGGCCCCGCTGGGCCCAGGAAGGTCCCGGGGAAGGCTGGCAGAAACGAGCTCAGGTCTGACGGGGGCACGTACTCCCGGGATGGGCTCCCCAGGCAGGGCCTGTCCCGTTGCGCGGCCCGTCAGCCATCGTGAGGCGCTCGGGGGGAACCGCCCCTGCTTTCCCTCCTAGAGGAGGGCTTCCCAGGGATGGGGCCCACGTGCCCTCTGTGCTCTGCAGCCTCCCACGGCCCAGGACAAGAGCAGCTGGCTAGTAAACTGACTTACCAATTTCAGTCTGCAACACCTCTGGGACCTTCACTCTCAGTGGCTAGAAAAGAGAAGAGTGGGGGCGGGGGCAGTGAGGCCCACAGCCCAGGGTACGTGGGCGATGTAGCACGGTGGCAGGGAGGACTGGAACGCCCCTTCTCTCCTTCCCGGACACCCGGCCCACCGTCCTCTCCTCCGCCCCCTCGTAAGCCTGCACTCGAGCATGAAGCTACAAGGTGAGCTGGGCCACCTTCTGGGGCACATGTAGGCTTCCCACTTTGCTTCAAGGACATGGGGTGCATGGGATGCACGGGTGCTGACTCAGCACCAAGGGAGCAAGCTTTACTGGGCCGTCTCTGCTCCCTCAGGTTACCGAGTGTCCCAGTGAGCGGAGAGCAGAGGGACTGACCGCGGGGACGGGCCGGTTCTGCAACCCCCACAGGGTGCGGCTGGCAGCGGCCGCCCCCCTCCAGACCCGCTGGAGGGAACAGGTGTGGAAGTCTTGAGAAGGACACTTTACTCCCAGTCTCAGGAATGCTGCGAGCTTATGTTTTGGAACTGAGAGACTGAAGTCGTTTGGGCATCAGCATAGCCGCTCACACTGGAGAGTCCGTAAGGCGTTGCCCTGTGCAGGCAGGTGCCGCCGCAGCCCGGCCCCGTCCACACGGGCGCGCGCTCTCGGCCTCCTCCCCGGGAACTCTGCTCTGGGCTGGGCATGAGAGCCCCTAGATCAGTGAGCCCAGACACGGAGCCAGCACCGATCTAGGGGACAGGAATCAGGGTTTGGCACCAGCTCCTTCTCTCTCCAAATGTTTGGAGAGGCCACGTGCATTCTACCTGGCCACACGCAGAACAAAGGGGCCGGGAGAGCAGCTCAGGGTTGAGAGCAGGGCCGGGAACAGGACCCAGGAGCCGTCCGTCAGCCCCAACTTCTCCTGAAGAACGGTTTCCATCCAGCCTGAATGTATGGCTTCATTTTTCCTCTGCTCCGAGTGGCCCCCAGGAGTACAGTAAAATTGTAATTCAATCTACAACTGCCTTACCGCGTTTTTCTCTAGGAAAATATTCCAGATGTCTTTTCCCAAGCTTCGGGAATCCTTGGGGCTTGTCTGCTGATAAACTTCGGCACACAAGTAAAAAAGCTAGGAGGAGAGAGAAGGGGGCTGGAGCGGTGGTTCTCAGTGGCCCCCCTCCGTGGAGGAGTGATTTTGCCTCCAAGGGACAACAAGCAGGAGGGGCCTGGAGACACCTGTGACCCTTCCCTGGAGAGGTGCTGGGGCACCTAGTGGGCAGAGCCTAGTGGCGCAGCTGAGATGGGGAGATGCACAGGATGGCCCCCCAGCAAAAACTCCTACAGCTCAACGTCACCAAGCTGGGGCGGAGAAACCCTGGCCTGGAGTCTCAGAACCCTCTGAGTTCTGCCCACCCGCTTGCAACACAGGCACCCTATCTGTGCGTCCTCCACACTCGGCATTTTGCCTCGTGCTGGTCTGTATCTTGTGTTCTACGGGCCGGTGTTCTACTTCTGTCTGTGATGTGCCCGGACTTCACTCCGGAGTCTCTGGGACACAGCACGTGGGTCCCACAAACCGGTGCTCCTGGCCCCGAAGGCAAACAGTGCTCTGTGCCTCCTGAGGGACACGACACCGTCCCCTCGTGCCCATCCCCTTCCGAGCGGCTGAGCAGCAGGAAAGAAGCTGCTGAGGCCACTGGCCCCGAGCCCTGTCCCAGGGCGCCCCTTCCCCATACAGCCCGCTGTCATCTTTGTCACCTTGCCCCTCCGCTAAGCCTCCCTGTGGTAAGGTCTCGTGTCTGCAAGGCCAGGCTCTCACGTCCTCAGGGTTCATGACTCCAGGATGACCGTCTCCTCCAAGCGGACCGAGAATGATGGCGGCTCCCCTGGCCTCCCTCTCCCCGCGCCTCCCTACGCTCCGGACGTGCTTGATGGGGCACAGTCCCTCCCGCCTGACCCGCACCTTCTTCCCTATTTGCCTCTGTCCTCGAGCTGCCTGCCGGCGCCCACGGATCGGACTTACCAGCGGGCTGGGGTCCGCCTGAGAGAAGATGTACCGCAGGAAAACCCCCAGGTGGGCTGGCCGGGCCTTCAGCTTCTCGAGGTCCTGGAATATGATGTCGCTCTGGAAGGCAGACGCACGGGCGTGGCTGCGGTGCGCAGAGGCAGGATACAGCAGCATGGCCTGCGGCCTCGCCCCACGTCCCCCGTCGCCCGGGTCTGCAAGCTTCGGCGCCCACCCTGTGCCCCTCACGGCCGGTGTGGGTCTAACGGCTTCTAGTCAACAGCAGCCAGTGCGACAATGACGAAAGCAGGGAGTCAGGGAACCGTTACCTCGTTGTTGAAATAACCCGGGTCACAGTCTTCCTCTGGGCCAATAATTAAAGGCTTTGGGCTTTGGTCTGTGCCCTGCGGAGAGAGTCCAGATGCAGGGAAGTCAGGGGACACGGATCCAGGCCCCACACCACATCTGTGTGGTGACGGCATGGCACCGGTGAGGAGGACCGTGTGTGTCTGGCGAGAGCGCTGGCATCTCCCCACCTCCCCTGGTCTCAGAGGGCAGACCACAGTCTCCAGCGCCCGGAGTCAAGTTCCTCTGGGTGGGGAGGCCTGGGCATGTGCATGCGGAGACAGGAAGTGAGAGAAGGCGCTCTTCCTGTTTGCGAAAGACCCTGGGACGCAGTGCCAGCTCCTGCCGCCGCGGCCTGGGGCTCTGTTGGTCCCTTCGGCGGCCATGTCCACGTCCAGCACGGCGCCCACGGCGGCCCGGTCTCCGTCACAGGACAGCTTGGAGCCATCTCTGCCTCCTTGAGCAGGATGGGACGGAGCTGACCGTTCCCCCAGCCGGCTCAAGGGTCTACGGCAGGTCTCCACCACCTGCCTAAATTCCAGACTTCTGAGCATGGCGTTCTCCCCTTCCTCCTCACGCCTGTTTTACTAGAAGCCCAACCCCTAACTGGTGTGTGGTCCGTGTCAGGTACAAGGAGAGTTCATTCTGCACAGACGTGTCAGACGCTTCACTGGACAAGCTTTCTCCTGAAGGTTCCATGAACTTCCAAAGCTTTTCTACCAGTGTTTTCCACTGAATTCAATCTGCCTCATTTCCAGGCATTCCCCAACACAGGCCCTGCTCTGGAGCCCGTCTGGACCACTTAACGCCCACTTTGCCCACTTTCTTCCAGGCCTAACATGCCCTCCCACCCGACTCGCTCAAGGGGTTTTTCCTGACAGCGCCTTCCAAAAACTCACTCACCCTGTTCTCCTGCTATTCGCAGACTCTTTGCTCAGAATGACAGAGTCAAAGAACGTGAGACCCAGAAGGTACGTCAGAGATCAGCGTGGCGCTCACTGACAAATGAAAACGCGAGGCCCGGACAGACTGAACGCGGGGGCAGCTGCCTCTGTATTTCTCAGACACATCCTGGGCTGCCTCCTCTCCTGTAACACCCGGGTCTCTGCATCCCTCGGGGTCCAGGATCCCCAGGGATGGCGGATGGCCACTTCTGGGCCCTCGACAGCTCAGACCCTCGGCAAGCTTTCTGCGCTGAGCCCAGAGCCCTCTTCCCGGGTCTCCCCTCCTGGTTCTATTCTTGGGGGCAGCGCTTCCAAATCAGGTTTTCAGGACCCTGGGGCCACAGGACTTGCCCTGGGGTAGGGGGGATGCTGACGGGCGCAGGTCCTGGGGGAGCTGAGCTTTTACCTGTTTGTGGTACCAGGGTGCCAAATAAGAATAAGATTTTGCTGCAGAAAGAGAAAACTGAGGAGTAGCGTTTGGGAGAAAGACTGCACAAATCTATCTGTTGCTGTACACAGACAGCTGTCTGTCCCTCGGGCGTCCCTTCCCTTCCCTGCACACGTATTCACCGTCTTCACACAGCCCGAGACAGCGTTCAAACATCCACTCAAGCCACGTTCGTCCTTCCGTCTTGTTCTCTAGGCAAAAGTCTATCAGGAAGCAGGTGTGGCCAGAGGGGTCCAGGCCACGCACTGGAATGTGGTTCTGAAGGAGGGGAGGAGGGGAGGGAGAGCCGCAGGGGGCTCTGGACCCCTCACCTGGTCGCTGGCGCCGGGCACCGGTGCGTCCGAGCCCTGCCGCCGATGGTGCTGGGCCACCCTGGCCACGATCACAGGGGAGGTTCGGGGACTGTCCAGCCCAGGGTCTGACAGTGCCGAGTTCCGATTCTTCAGCACCTAGAGGGACAGAGAGCCCATCCAGAAACTCACGCTCCGCTCGTGTGGTGAGGCCCATGCCCGGTGGCGCACGCGCACTCCCCAGTGCTTCCTCCGCGCCCGCCACGACTCTGGGCCCGCGTTAGGCGCACCGGGCTCGATGCTCACAACCGCCCTTTGAGGCAGATACTACCTCTCCTCCCGCTTCTCACATAAGGAAACCAAGACTCGGGAAGGTCATGAGATTTGCCGAAGCTCGGGACCCAGCCACGAGTATTCCCTGGAGTCAACCCAGCCCACAGCCTTCCTCTCTAAGCCAGGTCGCCTCTCTGACACCCGGCCGTCAGGATACCTGGAACGCATCCTGGGTCCTGTAAGGACACACTAATACAATTCCAACTATTACTTAGAATTACGGTGTAAGTGTGTTAATTAACCTGGCTCAGCAAGTGTCTTACAGACATCACGATTACTTCTTCCGTTCACTTGCACTTTCAGCTTGCAAGTTTATATCTGCAATTTACATATGCAAATAGAGAGCAGCTAGGAGGTAACGCTAGGCCAGAACCAAGTCTTCTGACCGCTGCAGAAAAGATGAGCTGTTCAAGGACAGTGAGGTCTGTGAGAGAGAGAAGGGCCGCCGCTCTGCCTCGGCCGGCTCGGGGTGTCCACCTGAGAGGGAGACCCGTGTGTGCGGTCAGGCCGCGGTTTTCGCGGACAGGCTCTGCTCCCTCACGCCCAGAGGCTCCCCACACGTCGTCCGCCTTCCTCCACCGATTCTTTACAGAACAAAGGCGGCTCCGACAGCCACGCACGCAGGGCGCACGTGCAGCCCCTTCCGTGCCCAGAGCACAGCGACGAGAACCCTTGGAGCCGGGAGCGCGCACAGACGGCAGGACCTGTGGGTGCCCGGAGAGCGGACGCCGACGGTGGTTTCAGACGGGGCTGGCCCCCTGTGGGCACTCACCTCGCCGAGGGAGGGGAAGCGCTCTGCCCCAGAGTCCAAGCCGCTGTCCCCCTCCTGGGAATCCAGAGAGAGCCGGCCTGGGAAGGAGACAGATGACACGGAAGGTGGCATCGTGGCCTGGGGGGCCCGTGGGCAGGGTAGGGGGGCGACGTGCCACCTTCCCCCCTTTCCGGGTTTCCCTCAGGTCAGATGCTCTACACCCGGCTCTCACCCACCAGTGTGCCTGTGCCCGGGCCACGTCAGTCCCGGAATGAGACTCTGCTGTGCCAGATCACCGAGAGTCTTGCCCCCAACCCCAGTGTGGCCTCCCAAGGGCCTGACTGCTGTCATCACAGTTCCTCTCTGGTCCGCAGCCGTCGGTGCTGCGGTCACGCACTCCCGTCTACCGACTGAGCCGCCCCCGCTGCCCCTGTGCGTGGATGTCGCTTTCTCTCCCTATGCTTGTGCCCGGAGCAGGGCCTCCAGTCAGTCTTTCCTGAACCTGCCCCAGGGGGAGGGGACAGTGAGTAAGGGAACCGGACCAGAGTATGGAGAGCTGGGCCGACTTACCTTCTGACGACCTCTGGCCGGTGTCACCGTACAGGGACAGCAGGTCCTGAAAAACAAAGGTGCCGAGGGTGGCAAGTTCTGCAAGCCTCTCTCCTACTTGTTTCCTCCTCCAGCCACCCCTTCCCTCATCTCCGCAGAGACTATCTGCCGCAGTGAGCGGCTGCTTCTGATCTGTTGCCTTAAAAATGCCCAGACTGGGGAGCCATTGCATCGTGGGTAGTCGGGCGGATGGTGGAAGCGGAGAAATTCTTCAAACCCACGGATTTGCCACCCCGGACCTCAAAGCATCTACTGCCTCGGTTGGGCTGGACGCAGAAGGAGCTTCCCGCCAGGAAAGCTGGTGACTGAGGGCAGCGGAGGAGGGCTGGCCTCTAACTGCCGCTGACCGACAGACAGGACGGGGCTGGGGGGATGGGACTATGGTGACAGAGCTCGGCTGCTCGGGAAGCCCGCCCTTCTAGATCTCGTCTAGGCTTTCGGGAAGCCCGAGGCAGGGACAGCTCTCTGCCATAACTGAGGAGCCCAGAGACCTCACGTGACGTGCCCAAGCTACGCAGCAGGAAAACTGACGCCGGGGCTGGCGACCCGACCCACCACCCCGCAGAGCACACGGGTGTGGGCAGCGGCAGGGGCACGCTTCTCTCCCGCAATACCGCCCCGCTCCAGCAGGCCCTGCTGTGACCTCCGTTCTACAGACAAAGACACTGAGCCTCCTGGGAAGTACGGAGCCTGCCCAAGTCTTACAGAAGGCGAGCACAGAACCTGAGCTCCTACCAGCCATGCGACACTGACTGTCCTTCAGAAGACACAACGGTTCAAATTTGACTAGCCTGCGGTTCCCAGACATTTTGATCTGGATGCTCTAAAGAAGAAAGAAAGTCATCCTCCAACAAGTTCTACCAGCTTTGGCAAAACTATCCTTGGAGATCTTAAAGTTTCTGGCGGGTTCCTTCGTATTTACCCAAAGAGTTAAGGCCTGATGGAGATTCAGACGGATGCTAATAACAAAGCCCTTGACTAGGACAGGTAAGGACACTCCTCTCTGGCAACTCCGTTTACGCAAAACGGTCAGCGCTGTGGGTCCCTCACTTGGGCTGATGTGCAAAGTGCTGGGACAGGGGCTGAAAGGAGCCTCCAGACGTGCGCCGTGTGAGATCGCTCAGGGACAACCGTCAGCTCCAAGGACAGCACTGGGGAGCAGGTGACAGGGAGACTGAAGCCAAGGGCCCGACTTAGTTCGTGCGTGTTTCCTTCCGCCACAGGCTCATCGGGGGCAGGAAGGGGCCCTTTGGCGCTAAAGAAAGAATTGCTGCTCTCTGTTCCTTGTAAAGTCCTGGACGCTTACTGGTCAGCCCGGGTCCTGCACAGCTCCAGAAGCCCATCTGGGCTCTCCGTGCTCTGCCCCCGGCCGTCTGCGCGGCACCCGCCTGGAGCCCAGCCTGCGTCACTCACCGCAGAGCCACCCGTCTCCTGCTGGATCTTCCGCTGTAACTGAGTGACGCGCCTCCGGGCGCCCTCCATCTGTTCTTCCAGCGGGCTGGCGGGGTTCCGGCTGTACACCTCGCAGATCCGCTGGGGACGGGCGAGGGTGACGGGGGAAGGCAGAAGGTGGTTAGTGGAGGACAGACAACTCACGGGGGCAGGGAACGGGGAGTCACCCCACAACAGAGAAGAGATGGGAGCTCTCTGCCTTCGGGAGACGCACGTTAGGAGGAGGGAGAGGTGTGGAGGCGGTGAGGGCACAGGCGATGCTGGAGAGGGACGGCAGGAAGGCCCGGGCAGTCTCTCCCTCTCCTGCTCCAGGGGCGGATGCACAGCGTCCCCGTGGAGCAGCCGGATGTGCGTGCCCGGCTGGACGCTCACCCGGCGCGCTTACAGCCTGGGCTGTGCGCTCGGGGAGGCTGGACTTGAACTTTGCCACCCGTGCTCACTAGCTGCGTAGACCCGCAAGCTGGACCGGGTCCTCGCGGATAAAACAGGGACAGCTGGGAGACCTGAACGCCATAGCGTCCATGAGGACTCAGCGGGAGCAGCTACTGTAATTTCACTCCGGAAGGAAGCGCTGGCTCGCAATTAAACAAGATGGTGGGTGCACACGTTCTCGAAGCTCATCTGAGGCCCCCTGCCACCTGCCAACCGCATTTTACAACCCCCCACTTCTCGTTCCATCCCGTCCGAGCCGCCCAGCACACGACATCACATCCCGGGCCCAGCCCTTGGAGAAGCCCTGCTTCCATCTCCCCGGACTCTGCTGAGACGCTGCTCATGCCCTCGGGCTCCCCTCCAGTGGCTCCTTCCCCCCATCCTGCGAGCACACGAGCCCTTCCGTCAGTTATGACTACCCTCAGCCCTTTCACCCTCCATCCACGGACACATCTCCAGACACGGGTCCACCCTCGGGGCCAGACCCTGCTGCCCGCAAATCATCTGACTGCTACTCCTCCAAGGAGCCCGATGACCCAAGGCCAAAGCCAGAGGCCTGGCCCCAGCCGTCACCTCTCCAGTGCCCCCTCCTCGGATAGCCGCCCCGGTGCCCCCCACCCTCCCTCACAGCTGCCCGCAGCCTCGCCTGGTCTCCGCCCCGCCTTGCGTGCCAGCCATGCCAGTGCAGGACACGCATGTGCAGGGACACGTGGCGTGGCCCTGGCCTTTAAGGAACTCAGTCCCGCAGGGAGGAGGACAGATAATTGAAATCTGAATGTAACAGCAACCATAGCAGCGATGTTACGGGCGGGTGCGTGTGCGGTAAGAGCACCGGAGCATCACGTTCTATCCCTGCGCGCTCTCCTCCTCTGGCCCCGGCACCCTGGGTGACACCACCCGGTCCCCACTTTCAACTACCAGCTCGGGCTGAGGACGCCTGAACCTCTGTCCCAACCCTGCCCTCTCCCTTGAGGCTCAACCCTGTCACGTCCACCGGCCGGGTCCACGGCCTTTTTATCTGAACGTCGCACGGTCAACCGAAGCTGACCTTCATTTCCTGCCCCTGGACCCGCCCCGCTCCTCTGCCTCTGAGATGTCCCCGTGGCCCCCTGTGGCCTTCTGGTGTGTCCACGCACGGAACACGCATCTCCGTGGAGACTGCCGGTCTGGAGGTGTGATCATTCCCCTGTTCAAAACCCTGACCAATCCCATGGTCTTCAGAATAAACCCCAAGCTCAGACGGAATTCTAGGCCCAAAGTACGTTCCAGAGTGAAACAGACCGAACCCAAACTCAAGGGCCACCTCAGGAAGCCTGCTCTGATTACGGCATGATTATTCCTTCTTTTGGGCTTCTGTGCCCTCAAAAACCATTGTAAAAACTGTTGACACGTGATTCACGTAACGTAACCCTCACCGTTTTAAAGTGCCCAATTCAGTGGCCTGGAGCGCCTTCGCAGAGCATACAAGCCGCCGTGGAATTCCCGAACGCGGCTACCACCCGACAGGATGGCGGTCACTCTCAACTTCTCCCCTCCTCCACCCCCGAAACCACTAATTTACTTTCTCTCTTTACAGACTTCCTTATTTGGGACTTGCACGTAAATGTCATCCTACAGCCTGTGGCCTTCTGTGCCTGGCTCTCTCACGAGCAACACGTGTTCGGGGTCCCCGTGCTGTGCAGCGTGTGTCCGACCTTGTTATGGCCGAGTACGGACAGACCACCTCCGTTTACCAACAACTTTTGGCTTGTTTCCACTTTGGGGCCGTTATGACCAATGGTACGAAGAACGTTCACGTACAGGTTTCTGCCTGGATGTGTGTTTTCAGTCCTCTCGGGTTGTACCCGGGAGTGGAATCGATGCATCTGTGATCCTCTGCGTTTAGGATCTGGAAGAATTGCCAAGCCGTTTTCCACAGCGGCTGCGTGCCTGCACATCCCCCCCTGCAATGGTGGGAACAGATGAGGATAACGAGCACGCAGACAAAATACACAGGCTACTGTCACCAACAACTGTTATTTTCTGTTATTCTGGCTCTAACCACCCTAATGGGTGCGGAGCAGTGCTGTGGGGCTTTGATCGCATCACCCTAACGACTGATGACGTGGAGCGTCTTTTCATGAGCTTATTGGCCATCTCTACGTTTTCTTTACTGACTATTCGAATCTTTGGCCAACTTTTAAGGCGCTCACGTGTCTTTTTTACTATTAAGTTTTGAGAGTCCTTTACACAGTCTGGTACTAGGCCCTTACTGGATATAGGAGTTGCTAGTATTTTCTCCATTCTGCGGGCTGTCTTTTTACTTTCTTGACAGTGTTCTTTGATGCACGAAGGTTTTGAATTTGGATGAAGTTCAATTTATTTTATTTTATATTTTTCGCTGTTTCTACTTCTGGTGTTTTACCTAAGAAAACGTTGCCTAATCCAAGGTCGTGAAGACTCGTACCTATGTTTTCTTTTTAAGTTTTATTTATTTATTTTGAGAGGAGGGGGGTAGTGAGCATATGTACGAGATGGAGGAGGGGCAGACAGAGAGGAGAGAGAGAGAGAATCCCAAGCGGTCTCGATGCTGTCGGCACAGAGCCCAGTGTGGGGTTCAATCCCATGAACCCTGAGATCACGACCTGAGCCGAAGTCAGATGCTTAACTGACTGGGCCGCCCAGGGGCCCCGAGAGTTTTGCAGTTTCAAAAAATAGTTTTAGTTCTTACATGTGAGTCTTCGAGCGGTTTGGAATGAATTCTGGGAACCGTGTGAGGTATGGGTCCGTGTCCGTTCTCTGCGTGCGGACGGCCAGGTGGCCCAGCACTGGTTGTGGACTCTGTCCACTAAATGGTCTTGGCATCTGTCAAAAACCAACTGACTATATCTGTACGGTTTAATTTCTGGACTGTGACTTCTCTTCTCCTGATGTGTAGGCCTGTCCTGATCACCGCGTGACACGAACACGCTTAAGTACCTCTACGTATTATAACGTGGGGGAAGCCGTACCTCCCTTCATCCGCCGACCCCCTGCTGGAGTACAAGCGCCACGAGGAAAGAGCATCTCTCATTTGTCTCTGTGCCGACATTGCTGTGCTCCACCCCGCCACACAGATTCCATGCCCGCTGAACCCAGGAGTGCGTCTTCACGTGTGCGTGCCTTTGGCTGACGCGGTCCGTTCACCGCGGTCCCTCCGCATTGGTTCCGCCCACAGAAGTCCCTCTTGGAGGCCTCTCTCTGGTGTCCCTGCATCCCCTGTCATTCACCAACTGCTCTCTTCCGTGTCCCCTACCAACTGGCCCATCGTGCTACGAATCTTCTCCGTCAGCACAGTCGCGTCGAGGGCAAGATGCGCCTCATCTTTCGGTCTCTGAACGCTGCCCAACAACAGGGCTTTCCGTGCAGCGAACGCTCACGGCAACGTGAACTGAAACGGAGGGGCCGGGCCAGGACCTGGCTGCCCGCCACAGTGAGAGCGCATCACCCCCGCCCCCGCCTGAGCCTCACTCTGCACCCCTCCCACCGACGGGGCCCCCACCCGCCCCGCCTCCCTCCCCAGAGAGCCCGAGGCCTTGCTCAGTTCTGCTGCTCCCTGGCTGTGTTCTCCTCGCCTGTCACCTGCTGGCGTGGGGCCTGCGGATCTACTACTCCGACCTGACCAGGTGCTCTGGTCCCTATCCCCCTTCTCAGCTGGGCTGCGCAGTCACGAATCCCACGGCCCACGAGGTCCAGCTGGTAGGTAGGGTTTGGCCATGACGGGCTGCGCGCCCGGAGTGAGGTCGTGCACTTGGCTGTGGGTTTCACTACGGCCGCGGCCAGTCGCCCTGAGCAGGGGCCTTACCTGTAACTCCTTTTCCTCCTGCTTCAGCATATTCCGAAGGATCTGGGTGGCATGTTTTTGGAATTCGGGATCCTGGGAACGGAGCATAGGACAGGTGAGGGCTGGGAACAGCCCCGCGGCTTAATTCTCCTCTACCTGCTGATTTCTCAGGCGAGAAAAGCCACCACAGCAGCCTGGGCCGCGCGGGCGTGGGAGTGACACTCGGCCCCTCACTTCCCTCAGGGCTTCTACTGCGGAGTTTCCTAGAAGCCTTGGCCGTAACCACCTCTGCTGTCCAACGGCCCTCAAGTCTCCTGGGACTTCTGCTCTGCCTTCCTCCCCACTGGAGGTCCCGTCCCGTCTCCCAAGTACGCCCTCTCCGTCCTCTTAGCTCCTGTCCCGGGTCCGCCCCCTCCTGGTGTCTGTCCTTTCCCAATTCTCTGCCTACAGCAGGGCTCCATGTCCCCCTCCTCCCCAGTGTATTCCACAGTCTTGCAGCAACGGCTGGGGGTGCGGGGGAGCTGTGGAGCAGGGCCCTTGAGGGCCTCCTCGGGGTCTCCCCCATTTAGGAGGCACGAGCCCACTGCTGTCTGGAAAGACCATGCGTTTGCGTGGAAGGGGGACACTAAGGATGCAGTGGCCGCTTTCTTGCAGCCAGCCTCTCTCTGCTCTGCTTTCTGGCAGGCTTCACGGATCTCAGGGTTGTCTTCTCACCAGAACACTGAGCCACAACCTGCTTTCCTCCCCACGGATGACAGCTGAGGGGGGAGCTCACCTGCAGTGGTTTGGGCCCCGTGATGTGCTGTGGAGGGGGCGGAGGCGGAGGCGGAGGAGGTGGTGGGACCGTGGGGGCGACTCGGGGGGCTCCGGCTGGGGCTGGGTCCTGTTGCAGCCCAGAGACGCCGACGGATGAGGGGGAAGAGCCCAGGAGGGTCAGTGCAACGTAGGCACCAGCTGGAGGAAGACAGACAAGGAGAGGCTTGCTCGCGGCACATTGTTCTGGACGGCAGACACTCGAGCTACAGAGGGGTCCTCCTTCTCCTTGCGCGGAGCTTAAAATTCTGCAGATAAAATTCTCTGCACTTTAACGCCCTGTCATCCCTAATCCCAGCTCACTGGCCCTGCGTTCCTTCCCTTCCTTCACGTGGAACGCCCAACCACAGTCCCACCGGGATATGTGGCCGTACTCCCCAGCGGCCACCTGTCCAGCTCTCGTGACATTCAGCCAAGCCCCCGGCACACAGGAGGCACGTGGAAGCTAGCCCCCCGCCCCCTTGGCCCACCCACCAACTCTTTCCTCAAATCTGTTGCTTCTGTTTCATTACCTGGGCAGGCCTGACTGTTGTGTCTTCCTGGCTACAAACAGGGTGTTTCTGCTTCCCTCCCCCCCAGATAGGAAACCAATGAGAAAGGCTGTCTGTGGGGGGACAGGCAGTGAATGGTACTGGAGGGGCCCGATATGGATACGGTCCACATGGGCGTGTAGGGAGACAAGAGGCCACTGTCTGCACGTGCAGTGACCACAGGGAACGGGGGCAGGCCCAGCGGATCAGGTTTAAAGACGTGACCCCGGCTGCCTCTGTCACATACAAAGGAGGCTCCGGGTCAAGGGGCCTGCCCCACAGCCCACCTGCTCCCCTACTTGCTGTGCTCGGCTCTCTCCAACTCACATTTGATAAGCTTTACCACCTCCAGGTGGGAGCTGTTGGTCACCATGGTGCCGTTCACCTGTTGGGGGACAGATCTATTAAGTAACCAGATGGATGCACAGAATCCTTCTCAAGTTCGCAATGTCACTCCTTCAAAGCCATTTTCCAGTGCTCTCCAGACACCTCCGGTCACTTGTTTGCTCTGTTCTCATCTGCTGTACATTCTGTCCTCCCAGTCAGTCTGTGAGGATCCAGGGATGAGACCTGCAGCTTCATCTGTTATTTCTGGTCGGTTCCATACCAGCTTCCTGCCCACACTCCTGTCACCTGCCCCAGCCTGTGTCCTCTTCACGAGAGGACCGAAGGATATCCTTGTCTAGGATCTCCTAAGCACGTCTAGGACTCTGTGCTCGGTGGACAGGGCGGGCAGGTGACAGTAGGTGGCAGCTGGCCAGGACCTCAGGTCAGTGCAGTGTGGGGACGGAATCCTAAGGCACTGGGCCCCTCGCTGGCCTCAGCCTCTCCGTCTTAACTGTATTTTTGTTGTTTGTTAAATGAATGGAAAGATAAAACCCATCCCAGAAGCTCGGTTGCTTAGAGTCAAGAAGGGCCGAGGATGGGGCTCCTAGAGGCTGCCCCTGCTGCCAGGCACACCCCGGCTCCTCTCGTGGCCCCGCCCCCAACCCGGGGGCCCCCGGTGGCAGCGAGGCTGGAGGGTGCAGGTGCCAGACAGAAGGGGAGGGGCACTCACTTTGATGATCCGGTCGCCTTCTTTGACACCAGCTCTCATGGCTGCCCCTCCTGTAGGGAGACGACCTGGTCAGCAGAGCCCGGCCACCCTCCCCAGAGGTCACTGACCCTGCCCTGCGGTCCCTCCGACTTGTCTTCTCAGCCCCTGGTGTCAGGACCTCAAATGCCGGGGATGCCTCTTGTCCTGCTCCAGTGACCAGACTTCCAGCGGCCAGACCACGGTGCTGGAGAGGCAGGCCGGGCTCCGGGGAGTGGGCGTGCGCTTTATTCGAATGTGTCTGGATGTCCCAGACCAGTAAGAGCTACTTCCTATGATCCAGTGGGAAGGATGGGTTTACCGTATCAACTGTACTGTTAGCATAATGATAGTTATTAACAGGAATATGGACAAAAGGATAAAAATGAGGTTTCCAAGCGTCCTTCTGAAGCCCTGAAGGGTTCAGGGGTATCCTGGGGTTCATATCAATAAAGATGGTCATGGTCACTCACTGTCAAAATTTGTTTCAGGCTATTTAGTTCCTCCCTTTAAAATGGGCCACATTAAGAGCTTCTGATTGAGACTTACTGAGACGCTGCCCCTTGGCCAGAGGCTGTGCTGGCTGTGACTGCCGTGTGGTTTTCCATGACTCAGTCCTGGTCTGATTTACATCCAGGAAGCATAAGAAACACGAAAGCTGAGGCTAGCTAACGAGCGGCATGAAGACTGTTTTCGTGAATCTGCCCCAGATGATCATTCAATCTGTGAGCTGCACTCATCTGATCAAAACAAAACTCCCACAAAGCACACATAGATGTTTCTGGTCTAAAAAGAGATTCTACAGCGCTGACTGCGTCCCAGTTTGGCTTTTCAATACGGGACTCAAGACTACGCCCTCGTCTCCAGCGTGCTATTTACGGAAGAGGACTCAAAAGGAGCGTGAAATGCTCTACCCTGTGTCTGGAAACCAAAGGTGGGAAAGAAAGTAGGAAACACACGTGGTGATTTCTAGTAACTTAGCGATTCGGAAAAAAACCAGTCTCCAGAGTAAAGGAACCGGAGAAGCTCTCAAGCCTCAGTGAGCATGAGTCACTGGGGGATGTGTTCAAAGGCATGACCCCTGGCCCCCTGGTAGAGAGTGATTCAGTAATTGTGGCTGTGGGCTCAGGACGAGGGTGGCAGCCATCCTGGGGTCCGGGTGACTCTGACGTCGGCAGGGCACCAACCACACTCTGAGAAACTGAACTAGAGAAGCCTAAGGTCAGGGAAAGACCGTAACAACCACTTCGTTACTCCCGAGAGGTCAACGCTGATGCCAATGTAGGCTCTCCTTGTCTCCTGCCCCAAACGCACACACACGTGTGCAGAGACACCCGTGCACAGACACACCCCTTAACTCTGGGTCCGAGTCTGCTTGGGCCTCAGGGCAGGGACATGTAAGAGGGCTGAGCTGCACCCAAGGGACCGCAGGCCGCAGAGGTGAAGGACGAGCATTTTGTCCCCACCAGCTCCGTCTCCCCTGTCCAGCAGCAGGGACAACACGGAAGCAGAGAACAGAAGTATCTCTTCAGAGCTCTGTCCTCGGACAGGAAAACAAGCCCCACAGACACAAGTTAACTCCCAAACATCTGAGCTGCAATTATTTATATCCTCGTGTGATCTACAGACCTCATTTTGGTCATGAATTTGAAATTCTCTTTTTGCTTTTCCCATAAACAAATCCCAGCTATTTCCTCAAAATTACTTAAAGTCTATTTTTCTTCCCACTTTGCAATGTACTTAGTGTGAAATGCTAGCCTGCTCATGGGCACACCTTGTCTTACTGTACTTTGCAGGCAGTGGGTTTTACAAATGAAAGTTTTGCGGGAGGGGCGCCTGGGTGGCTCAGTCGGTTAAGCGTCCGACTTCGGCTCAGGTCATGATCTCGCGGTCCGTGAGTTCGAGCCCCTTGAGTTGAGCCCCGTGAGTTGGGCTCTGTGCTGACGGCTCGGAGCCTGGAGCCCGCTTGGGATTCTGTGTCTCCCTCTCTCTCTGCCCCTCCCCGGCTCATGCTCTGTCTCAAAAATAAATAAAAACATTAAACAAAAAACTTAAACAAATGAAAGGTTTGCAGGAACCAGCGTCGAGCAAGTCTGTCAGTGCCATTTTTCCAGCAGCGTTTGCTCACCTCCTGTCTCAGTGCCACATTTTGGTGATTCTCACAATATCTAAAACTTTTCTGTTATTATATTTTTATGGTGATCTGTGACGAGTGATCTTTTTTAGGTTAAAAAAACTTATTTACATTAATCTGTATTTTTATTCTTGAGGGAAAGAGAGAGCGTGCGCGCGTGCGTGCGCACCCAGGGGAGAGAGGCAGAGGGAGAGGGAGAGAGAGAATCCTAAGCAGGATCCAGGATCCATGCTCAGTGCAGAGCCCGATGTGGGCTTGATCCCACAACCATGGGATCATGACCTGAGCCGAAATCAGGAGTCAGACGCTCAACCGACTGAGCCACCCAGGTGCGCCTGTGACGAGTGACGTTTGGTGTTACTGCTGTGATGGTGTGGGGGGCACCACGAGCGGTGCCCTGTAAGACGGTGAACTTGACAGATGCTCCGCCGACGGCCGTGCCCCGTCTCTCTCCCTTCCTCAGCCGCCCTGTTCCCTGAGACACGGCAGCAGTGACATCAGGCCGATCACTGACCTACAACGGCGCTGAGTGTGCCGTGAAAGGCAGAGTCTCGCGCCCGTCGCTTGAAATCGGAAGCTGGCGGCGATTCGGCTCAGGGGGGAAGGCGCGTCCAAAGCCCAGGTACACTGAAGGCTTAGGCCTCCCGCACCCGACGCTTGGCCAGGTTGTGAACGCGAGGGAAGGTTCCTGAAGGAAATGAGAAGTGCTGTTCCGGGGAACACGCGGAAGACGAGAAAGCTAAACGGCCTTACTGCCGATGCGGAGAAAGTCTGAGTGGTCCGGATGGAGCATCACACACACCACGTCCCCGGTCCAGAGCCCGGTCCAGAGCAAGGCCCGCGCCGTCTTCGTTCTGCGGAGGCCGAGCGAGGGCAGGAGGCCGCACGGGCGCGGCGAGACGCTGGCTGAGGCCGGTCCGTGAGGTCTCGGGAAAGAAGCCGCCTGCGCGACACAGAAGCGCAGGGAGAAGCATCCGGGGCCGATGCAGAAGCCGCGGCAAGTTCTCCGGAAGATCCAGCTGAGAGAATTCACCAGGGTGGCCACGCTCACCAACAGATCCTCAGCGTGGACCAGACAGTCTCATGTTGGAAGGGGACGCCGTCCAGGACTCTCGTGGCCAGACGGGACAAGTCAGGGCCCGGTTCCCAAGCTTCGAAGGACGGGCCGACTCTTGTCAGGGGCTAACGCGACTGGTGACTGTAAGCTGAAGCTCCTTGACCTTTCCCAAATTCTTGGGGCCCTTAAGAATCACGCTAAACCTACTCTGTCTGTGCTCTAGAAATGGAACAACAAAGCCTGGAGGGCAGTACATCTGTTTACAACATAGGTTACTGAATATCTTATGTCCCCCATTGGGACCTGCTGTGCAGAAAAAAAAAAAAAAAAAAAAAGATTTCTTTCAAAATATTACTGCTCCAGGGAGCCTGGGTGGCTCAGTCAAGTTAACCATCCAACTTCAGCTCAGGTCATGATCTTGCAGTCCGTGGGTTCGAGCCCTACGTTGGGCTCTGTGCTAACAGCTCAGAGCCTAGAGCCTGCTTCGGATTCTGTCTCCCTCTGTCGCCCCTCCCCCACTCATGCTCTGTCTCTGTTTCTCAAAAATGAATAAATGTTAAAAAAAACCAAACAAACAGGGGTGCCTGGGTGGCTCGGTTGGTTAAGCGTCCGACTTCGGCTCAGGTCATGATCTTGTAGTCCGTGAGTTGGAACCCCACATCAGGCCCTGTGGCTGACAGCTCAGAGCCCGGAGCCTGCTCTGGATTCTGGGTTTCCCTCTCTCTCTGCCGCTCCCCTGTGTGTGCATGTGCGTGCGCGCTCTCTCTCTCTCTCTCTCCCAAAAATGAACATTAAAGAATTTAAAAAACAAACAAAATATTACTGCTCCTTGACCATGACCCGGGCACTCAAGAGCTCTGATGGACAACGAGACGTGTGTTGTCGTGCCTGCTGACACAACACCCGTTCTGCAGCTCACACGTCAAGGAATCATTTCGACTTTCGAGTCTTATTATTTGACAAATGCATTTTGTAGGGCTGTGGCTGCCCTAGATAATGATTCTGCTGATGGATCCAGACAAAGCAAATCGAAAACCTTCTGGGAAGGATTCATCATTCTAGATGCCACTCGGCCCATTCACGGTTCATGGGAAGAGGTCAAAACATCAATATTCACAGGAACCGGAAGAGGCAGCCTTCACGGACTGACTCGGAGGGTTCAAGACTTCCGCGCAGGCACAAGTGCAGTGTGGCCTGAGGACGGGGCTGAATGGCTGCAACCTCAGGATAAAACCCGAGCGGACGAGGAGGTGCTTGCTGGGGAGGAGCGGGGCAAGCGGTTTCCTGAGATGGAATCCACTCCTGGTGAGAATGCCGTGAAGACTGTTGAAATGACAGTAAAGGACTGAGAATATCCCATCAGCGTGGTTGCTAAAGGAGCAGCAGGGTGGAGAGGATGAGCTCCAATTCTGCAAGTTGTGAGCAAAATGCTCCCAAACAGCAGTGCCCGTGACAGAGAGACATTCCTAAAAGGAAGAGTCGCTTGATGTGGCAAACGTCATCGTCTTATCTCAGGAAATCGCCACAGCCCCCCCCAGGCTTCGGGGGCCACCACCCCGGCCAGCTAGCAGCCACCAACATCGAGGCAGACCCTCCGGCAGAGACTGTGACTCGCTCATTAGCAGGAACGCCCCGCAACAAGGTGTTTTTAACGAAGGCGCGTGTGTTGTTTATCAGACGTGACGCCACCACACTCTGAGACCACGGTACGGTGAGAGCGCGACTTTCACGCGTGCGGAGACACCAAATCGTCGCTCTGAGCCGCTTTACTGCGACGCCTGCTTCTGTGGCGGTCAGGGGCCGAGCCCGTACCTGCAAGCCTTAGACTCTCCACGTCACCCGCGCCACCCCCGCGGCCACACTGAAGTTCACACCCCTAGGGACACTGGTTTACACACGTCCCCGCTCCCACGTTCTTCCCGCCTTGTCAGCTCCGGCCCGGGTCGCTTACCAGCACGGCTCTACCTGGCGGGCGACACGGCTTCCAGGTGCTGGCGGCTCTTCCAGTCGCGACTGGCGGCTCGACCGACCTGCCTACGTGCCCTCCCGCTCTGCTTCCTTCCCCCCGAGTCCTATCCTGCCAGCCGTCTTTCATTCCCACCTTTGCGACTGCTCCCGAAATCCTACTGCTTCTCAGGGAGGCTTGGACCACAAACCACCCGAACACCATTCGTTCCCAGCACCGTCTCCTCCCAGACTGCCTGGCACACGTCATTTCTCTGGCCCTTTACTATTTAACGCCGGCCGCCCCGGCACCCACCCGGGCCGGCACGCTGTCCCAAACTGTAGGGTGCTGCAGGTGGCACAAAGACGGGGGTCTCCGACCCCACACGGCACCTTCTGACCCGGTAAGAGGGCCTCCCTCGGGTGGCAACCTGGCATCTGCCCGGCAGCCTCAGGGCCACCCTGCCATCCTTACCCTTCCCAACGGGGAAGTGGGCACGCGACGTGACCCCTACGAGTTCTGTCTGGCGCACGGCACTGCCGAGACGGCCCTGGACGGCCCCGGGGACCGGTTCGCAGTAATTCACGCACGCCCGGCACTCCCCCCACCTCCAGGGAGCGCCCACGCCCGTCCTCTAATTGCGCGGCAGGTCACGCACACGGTTGCTACCCACACGGTGTCCCCGTCCCCCGCGGGCAGTGGGCCGCAGCACTCACCGGGCCGCACGGACTGCACCAGGACGATACGATCCCCGCTGACGGTGAAGCCGAAGCCATGCTGGTCCTTTTGGATGATGACACAGCGCTGAACAAGACCTGATGGGGGTGACAGACAGAGAAGGATCATCAGGAGCCACCACCGACCGGGAAAGCCCCAGGTCGTCCTCCCGCAGAAAGCCTTTCCAGACTAACCGACTCCCCAGACTTTTCCTGAGCAAAACTAGGGCGATGACACGACGGCCTCCGGAGCAACGAACACCTGGAAGCTACCTTGCGCCCCGTGTAAGTCACCCTTCTCCAGTCACTGAGGCGTCTGTCTCTTTAGGTCTGTCGGGTGAGGCTGGCCAAAGAGGGTCAGGACAGGGAAGCAGCCCTGTGACTGAGGCCCGAGTGAGGTGTCTGCTGGGAAATCCCGCCTGGCGAGGGCGGCGGGTGGCGGCTCACGGGGGGCGACCCGGGGCGGGCCCCTTGCCAGACCCGGGGAAGGGTGCAGGGAAAGAGAAAACCCGCTCTTCTCACACACACGTCTGCCCCCAGAATGTGGAGGAAAAGAAAGGCAGCCACGACTGCCGAGTGCCCCCGTCCCCGCGGGTGCGCACCGGACCCCACACCCTGCACGCTGCGCCCCAGACATCACGCCCCGGATCCGCGGACTGCACACCGCACTGGATGCCGCATACCGAGCACCGAGCTCGCGTGCCGACCCGGGCCCCGTCCCACAACGGCCAGCGCAGGAACCTTGGAGTTAAACCCAACTGGTTTCGGGCCTGCCTCTGGCCCCTCCGAGCCTATGCACTTGGCAAGTGTCTGAAGCCCTCTGTGCCTCGGCCCCCTGTTCTGTGAGCAGGGACAACATCCCCCTTCCGTGGCTGGTGTATGGACACAGGAGACAAGTCGTATAAACGGCGAACTGCCGAGCCCGACGGGAAGGCTGCTTTGCCCCCGGGGGAGGCACCCCTTCTGTGTCTGCGTGTTAGCGCCCCAAGGTTACCTGCTGCGTCAGAGGCGTCAGAGGCGTCAGAGGGCTGGCGGAGGTGGGAAGAAGGCCTGCGTCCGGGCGCCGGGTCTCCCAAAGACAGGCTACTTAACCTGCAGGGCAAGGAGAGCAGTGGTGAGCCGGGCGGGGAGGGACCAGCCTGCAGCTCTGTTAGAAGGGGCCCGAGTCTTGGGTGAAGAGAGGCCACCCCTCTCAGCCTGTAAGCGGCTCAATCTGGTGGGAGATCAGCCGTGTCTACACCACCGGCAACACCACCTATGTGAGATCCTGGGCCGCAGGGCAAGCATGGTCTCCCTGATACCCACAAGGCGCGAAGGGCAAGAGCCCTTCCTGGAGTCGGGAGACAAAGAAAGAGTGGCGGGAGCAGACCGCGCACAGACACACACGCTTGGTGGCTCTTACCAGGCGGCAATGGGGCTGACGGAACAGAACGAAGCAGCAGGGAGATGGTTGCAAGAAAAAGACGGGAGAAAACAAAAGCTGGTTAGTGTCAGGCGGCGACTGGCAAAGGACAGGGAGACCGGAGGGCGAGACGGCGGGGCATCAGAACCAGCCGGCAGAGGACGGCGGCGGGTGCAGCAGAGAGCCTCCCCACCTCGGGCTTTGTCTCGTCCCCTCTAGACGGGCACCTCCAGGCAGGGAACTGGGACTAACCTGGGCGGGGTAGCATACGCTTCTCTAGAAGGGAGGGGGAGAGCAATGGCCAAGCCTCTGAAAACGCCCCTTTTCCTGGAGTCTGGCCCGTCCGGTGGTAGAAATCCGGCCCACACCGAGCCCCTGCCTGCAGCCAGCCCGAGGCGCCCGGCTCGGCAAAGGTTAAGTGAGACCCTAACACCTCAAGGTACTGAGATCACCAAACCAGATCTTCTCTTCAACAGCAGTGGGACAAGTTCAACGGCTGCCATGCCTCTCCCATTCAGGAGAGTGTACCTGCTGCCCCTCTGAGGGGGTCTCCCGCGTGTCTACAGCAAGTGACCAGGCAGAAGGTCATTAGCGGAGGCGCTGTGTGCAGTGGCAGAACATGCCCTTGGTGTAAGTGTTCACGTGGTGGCTGGTTGAGTAAACCACAGTGTGACGGTGACAGTATGATGGCAGGGTGCTCAGCTGCGTGTGACGGGAAGGCCCTTGACGGAAAGGAATGGCCTCCAGGACGTGTTGAGTGAAAACAGCAAGGCGCAGGATTACGAGCCCAGGGAAAAGTGGGCAAAAGAGCGGGGGGGAGGGGGGGGAGTATTTCTTCGTGTGTGTTTACATGCTCGCTCACGTATGCACAAAGGATCTAAGACACCTTTGGGAGGGTACAAAAGAAACACACACTGGCTGCCTCTGAGGAAGGAGACTGCGTGTCTGGGGCACAGGGCTGGTGCTAGAAACTCATATTCTCGATTGCAGCCTTTAGGTTCTGGATCCCGGGAAGGAGCCAGCTCTTCAAGTGACATATATGACACGACAAAATAACTTTCAAAGTTAAAAGACGGGGGTCTTCTCCCCTCATCCTGGCGCCCCTCCTCCCTGGACAGGTGAGACTGCTTTTTACTGGCTGATCTTTGCATCAGAGAGAGGAGGACGCCAAGGGAGAGGAGAGCGTGGGGCCCAGGAGAGCGTGAAGTGGGAATGGAGGACGAGAAACAAGGAAGAACAAAACAAGACATAAACCAGACAAGACACGGGAGACGGTTGATTCAAGAAAAGCCGCAATCGCGCCGAGAAGGGCCGCGGAGTGGAAACTGCCCACAGTGCACTAGTCATCTTGCTGAAATGCAAATCCGCCCATGTCATTTTGCTGCGGGGAACCTCCCAGAGCTTCCGTATGGTGCGCGGGGCGGGGGGAAGGCTGTGCTGCCCGAGCTGGGCCATGGCCGTGGCCGAGCGGGACGCACTGCCGGGCTCCCCCACTGCCCCCGGGGCCCACCGCCCAGGCGGGACTCGGCAGGCGCGCCACCTTATTCTCCGTCTCTGCTCTTTGCCACCGGCCCTTCACCTGCTCTGGTTTCTGGCCCCTGCCTTTGCCTGTACCGCGCCTGCTCCTCAGATGTCCCTCCCGCCGCATGGCTCGTGACCGCATCTGTGAGCCAGACGAGAACGTGCGCTGCCGGCAGCTCCGGCTTCTGGCTGTCTTCAAATCACCCGCCTCCAATCTCTGCCCACCCCCACCCCTCCACCCACGCCGGGCACCCAGCTTAGCTCAGCACTCAGTAAGTGGTCTAGAATCCACGGATGATGACCACACTTGCTGCGGTCATCATTCTGCAACGTATGTATGTCACGCTGCCCCCCTGGAATGTGCACAGTGCCGTGTGGCAATGAGATCTCAGGGAAACTGAGAGAGTGCCCTAGAGCCCAGACCCGTGCTACCCGACGTAACAGCTACAAGCGTCTATTTGAATTCACATCTGAAAAAGAATGTAAGTTCCTCAGCTGGCCCAGCCACATTTCCATTGCTTCCTAGCTAGCTACGGTGGCTCGTGGTTACCATACCACACTCACTGGACCCGACAGCACGAGGCATTTCCATCGCTGCGGAAAGCTCTCCTGGACGGCACGGCGCTGCTCCGGGCACCGTGCGAGGCGCTGGGTACAGACGGAGGAGGAGCACACACGCGGGGGCGACAGCTCCGTGCTGGCCCCCTCAGAGAGGGGTCCTCAGGACGGACCTTAATTTAAAGGTCTTTTATTCCAGCTGCTCATCTGCTGTCTGCAGTCGGATCCGCACACCCCACCCCTGGGCTACCGAGGACGGGCCTGAACCCCTCCTCCTCGCCACCTCGGGGGAAAGCCCGTTTTCTGCTGGGACGGCCGGGGCCTCCTCCTGGCCTCGTGCAGTCTGGCCCACGCCTGTATGGAAGCCTGGCAGGGACGGGAACTCGGAACCTGGTTTGCTTTGCACTCGAGCTGGGCCGTGCGCTGTCGTGTGTCACGAAAGGCACGCGGAGCGGTGGCCCGTGGACCTGGCTGCGGAGGACGTCAGGGGCGTGGACGAGAATCACTTCAGCAACAGATATGAACGGCCTTTTCTCTTTGAGAGCTTCGAGGAGGAAAAACTACCCCGGAACTGGGCAGGAAGACACATCGGCAGATCAGGTGGGCGGAAACAACGTGCGGGCTGCTGGGTCGGCGGGGGCTTGAGCCCGAGCAGAGAGTTTGGAGGGAGCCCTTGGGAAGGTTAAAATCTGAGAGACAAGGGAAGAGGGAGAAGCAAAGAGCGTACTCGGCCGTCAGAAAAGGAGAAGGGATTTTAACGGCAGGGCTCCCCTCTCCTTCATGCCGTTCCCGCCAAGTCTGGCAGCAGAGATCAGATCTGAATCGGCCTAAACCTGAAGGGAGAAGGCCTGGGAGAGTGCAGACCGCCCCCCCCCCCCCCCCCCGCCCCAAACACGTGGCTCGTAAACGGCAGCCGCGAGACAGGAGGTCTGGCCCAGCTTCCCAGTAGGGCCCCACCACTGAGCCCCCTGCCCAGTGCAGCCGACGGTGTTTCCAGACCCGCTCCCTGCTTCCCGCCCCCACTGACCGTGGGGCTTCTAGCCTTGGGTCTGGGTGACTGGAAAAGCCCAGATTCACTGTGTGGACCAGCCTTCCCTGGCACGGCCCGCCCCGGGCCCCGGATCAGGACCCGCGATTCCCTCCTCACACCTGACAACCAGACATGTGCGAGGCCGCCTGGCGCTGAAGGGCCTTCCACCGAGGGGACCCAAACACCGTGGCCCCGTGACGGCACCACCCTCTGCCCCTGCTCCTCGAGGCTCTGGTCAAGGGGCATGGACCCCACCGTGCTCTCCCTGGCCACAGCAGCCTGCGTATCTTTTACGCCAAGATTGTATTCTGAAGCGTTTCAAACGTGCGTTGAGGTTGAGGGGAGCAGCACGATGAGTGCCTGTAGGCCTCCATCTAGACTCCTCAGTCAACATTCGTCACGCTTGCTTTATTTTCCCAAGGTTACACACTTTTTCCCTATTTCAAAGTTGCAGACAGCGTGACACTTGATCCCGAAGTACGTCAGCATGACCCCCCCAAGACCTTCGACTTCTCCTGGACAACCACAGTGACCTCAGCACCCAAGGAGCTCACCGTCGATACAACAGGATTACCTCACATGTAGTCCGCGCTCAAACCCAACTGTCGTATGGCTCTTCCACACGGCTGCTTTCCCACGGCCTGCGACCGGGGTCCAGCCGCAGATCGCAGATCGCACTTACTCAGTCTCCTCGGGATTCGTCTGATCCAGAACGCCCACCCACCCTGGTCCCTCCGAACCCTGAGGTGTAAGAGCTCAGGCCAGTCGTCTTATCGATCAGCCTGCAGAGGACTCGGATGTCTCCTCATGATTAGATTCAGATTAAGCCTCTTAAAAGAGTATCGTGTGAGTGGTTACGCCAGGTTTGGTCACTTGGGTCAGGTGCGCTCCGGGGAGTCGGCAGTGGTAAAAACATGTTTCCCACTTGAATCGGCGGGCAAGCTGGGGTGATACCTGAGCCAGAGGACCACCCTTTTCTCCAACAGCCCCTCCCCAGCGGCCTCACCCTCCACGGGGGCTCCTTGTTTGGACCGCATGCTGCACTGTAGCCGTAGAAAGGCCATCTACTGATTCCGCCTCTCCTTCCACATCCACTAGCGGGAGTCTCCTGTAAAGGAGGCAGTCCTTCCCTTTCCTGGAGCGGCGCCACGAATTCATGAATTTCTTCCCTAATGCAAGGCATTATAGTCCATTATCATCACTTTTTTTTAACGTTCTTTTTTTTTTAAGTTTATTTTTTTTTTCTGGGAACCTCTCTGCCCAACGTGGGGCTCGAACTCATGACCCCAAGATCAAGAGTCACGGGCTCACTGACTGAGCCAGCCGGGCGCCCCTTTCATCATCACTTTTTAGAAACTCTCGGAGCTGTCCCCATCTGGCTGGGGGAGACCTTGTTCCTCAACGGTGTCACCGTCTGTCTTTGAGCACATCCTTGCCTTCTGGCACAAGACCTTCCCGGCTCACTGCCTACCTTCCCTGAGCCAGGCCTAGGATCAAACGCTCCTGTAAGGACCCTGGTTCCTTTCAGTGGGAGTCATACTTAGAGACAGGATCGGGGGGGCCAGGGCAGCGAGTATTTATGCAGAAAGTGTGAGTCCACACTGACATCTCCAGTTTGGCTCCGACACTAGCGGGTCCTTCCTCTCCCGGAGTGAGAACCGGTTCCCACGTGAGAGGGTTGCTGGGGTGAACGCACCAACATGTCTATTCAGTCAGTCCAGGGTGTCCCTGCAGCTCTGTCCCCACATCGCGTTGCATCAGAGGCGCACAGTCAGGACCGTGCGCGGAAGCTGCTCTCTGATGTTATCGGCCTGAAATGCATCCAGGCCTCTTTTCATACTTGTGCTTAACTTGGGGGGGTTTCCTTTCCTCAGTATTTATCTAACTTTACGTTTTGAACCTGTTCAGCACTTACATGGTCCAGAACGCAAGATGCCACCTTACAAAAGGTCCCTCCAGAGCTGCCCCTGCCGCGTCCTGACCCTGCAGGGAAGCTTTCCCACCGGTCTGTGGCTTCCTCTCTGGGCCTCGTCTTGGGAAGCTAAGGAAATGCACACTGCTCCGTCCCGGTCCGCAGAGACCTTCCATGTCCCTCCCCTTCTCTCTGCCCTGCCGGCCACACCCTGATGCCTCCGACACTACTCCTGTCATCTGGTGTCAGTCCTGGCCGGGCTTTCCGGAACGCTCCCCCCACCCCGGCGGTCTGCCCCCCTCCACCCGCAGCAGCACCAGGCGCAGAAGAGGCGCTCTGCAAATCCACGCCGAAACGGTCCCCCCGCCCCCCGTGCGCAATGAAGCGCGGACACGCGTGGAGACTGTCCCGACAACAAAATCCGCAACTGCCCATTTACCCCTTCTGTTGGCCTATGGGTGTGTATATTTTTAAACATTAGTTAACATTTGAAAATCAGACCCTTTCACACTAAGAAACCACAGGTTTCCGGTTTCTGGCACCACCGTGCTTCTAAGCCCCACAAGGGGACAACGGCTGCCGACAGGGCCTGCTCTCGTCATCCTCGTTCTGTCCCGCCGGCAGCCTGCAGCTAGGGAGCAGCCTAGGATGTCCCCGTGACGCTAGTTAGTTACGAAGTCCTTCCTACCTTCCGCGCGGTGTGCGGAACACCTGCCGTATGCTGTCTATTTAACCTTCCCTGGAGCCAGGCGAGGTAGGCAGCACACCCCCATTTTCAGAGTGAGCAGCGGGGTTAAGTGGAGTTGAGATACGATCTGGTTTCAAGGTCTGGGCCCCTAAATGAACTTATCTGACCTGTGGCCATGTATGAGGATCTAACTAACTGGTCTCTATTGGGCCTTTCCTGGTATTTTCTTTTTTGCATACACACAATACATGTACCTCACATGTGCACACACACACACGATACACGTGATGTACTCTAGACTCACAAGGTACGCAGAAGGCATACGCTATGTATATCTAGAGAGATAACAAATACGATCAACAGAGATTAAAAAGCACACCGTACGTAAGCTGACGTAGGTCTCTGGTGTCTGGGCAAAGTCATACTCCTGAGCCCCTCCCCAAAGCCAGGAGCGGCAGTGAACCAGGAAAGAGCTACCTTGCCAGGACCTTCGTTCTAGATAAAGTGCACATTCGCTGAACCCTGACCTGGTCTTACTGGTCTGGTTTCCCTTATCTACCAGGGTGGAGGAGCTCTAAGTAGCCTCCTGGCACCCTTTTCAAGGATTCTGCATCTGGGCGGAAGTCTCCCCACGGTCTGAGGCAAACACTCCAGCCTGCACATCCCTGCAGTGAAGGGAAGAGACACTGTTGCCCCTAAGAGCTCATACACTTGAGAACACTTAGAAAAAAAGAGGCACAGATCAAACGAGAGCACTCTCCGTCAGAAAGAACCAGAGTGCAGAGTCAACACTTCAAAGGGTGCTGCCGAGAAGGACTGGGCTTGGAAATTCAGGAGCCAATTCCAGTTCTGTTGGAATCCACGGGGCCCTCGGCCACCACCCACTTCTGCGCGTGGGTCTCTTCTCAATTCAAGCGGGGGGCAGCGGGGGCTGGGGGGTGGGGAGCGGAAGCCCCTGGCAGAGCGGACAGAGAGGCTCCCAGCCCCGAGGTCACGCACTGGCTGCAGAGCGGCGTGGGAACCCCTCACGCTCCCACCCGGGGACCCAACGTGGCAGCTCGGTGGCGGGGAACACGCGTCCTTTCTCGAGCAGCCCCTTCCCTCTGCGCCAGCACCGATTTCCCGGGGTGGACCGGAGCCCCGGGGACAAGGCCGCCCCGACACGTCTGCTGAAGGAACGTGCATGGCCCTCCCTTCAGAGCTGCCGTGAGGCTCAGAGAGGCACTCCGTTAGGTTCCCCATGGCGTGGAGTCCCGTGCAAATCTTTTCAAGGTCCACACTAGGTGACCGACGCTCAACGTGCCAGAGGTGAGGCACACCGATGAGAAAGAGTGGGTGACTAAGAAACGGAGAAGTGAAGATGCCCCCGGCTGTCCCGGTCGCCTCCATGCAGGGCTTTGAGGTCGGTGGGCATCGGGGCGGACAGGTGCACGGAGGGGGTCGGGGGGTGGCGAGAACCAGCGTGCGGGGCTCAACACTCCATGTTTATCACACAGCCCATGCTATGGTCTGGAAAGCACTGTTTTGGGGTGAAATACAGGCTCGGGCTTGGGCTCAGCCTTCTCCTGGCTGGCACCCCACCTCTCCGAGCCCCGGTTTCTCAGCAATGAATGTGGAAAATACCATTTCCTCCAAGGGTGGCCGGGAGCACATCACCCTCACAGAAACCTCAAAGCCAACATGTCCAAACTGAAATCAGCCTCCTAGCGTGGGCCCTGCTCCTAAGCAGAGGTCTCCTCCCGAGGTAACCGTGCCGTGCGGTCACTCACGTGGGAGCCCGAGTTACCTCTGACACCTCTGCAAATCTAACCACCGCCACACCTTGCTGCCATTACCCACCACTGTTTCTGGACCCACCCGCTCTGTCCCTCCTTGCCCCTCTCCTAGCACAGTCGGCCGTTCCCCTCCCTAGATCCCATTCATTCTCTACTTGAGAACTTTCCAGCAATCTCTTAAAAAGACGAAGTGGAACATTACCCTGTAGCAGCTTCCTACCGTCCTCACCCTCGTATAAAGGTTCAAATCCTCCCCCAGCCCAGCAGGTGCTCTGGGTGGGGGGGGGTCCTCGTGCCCCCACTGGCCTCAACCCCAGGAGCCTCCCCGTCCATGAAGGCCAACACACGCTCCAGGGTTCAGCACAAACCACCTCTTCCTCCAGGAGGCCTTCCTGGACACCCCACGACGCGGGCCTCCCCCGAAATCTTCCCTGTGGTGCTCAGTGCCGACTGGTCATTTCGTGCTTTCTCGGACTGCTTCACGTCTACTCTCCCCCTTTGCTGATAAAGCTTCATCGTGTCCTGTTGGCCGGAGCACGCAGTCGATATACAATAATTATGACTTGAGGGGTGCCGGGTGGCTCCTGTCGGTTCGACTCTTGATTTCGGCTCAGAGCACGATCTCGCAGTTTGTGAAGTCGAGTCCTGCTTTGGGTTCTGTGCTGACGGCACCGAGCCTGCTTTGGATTCTCTCTCTCTGCCCCTCCCCCACTCGCGCGTGTGCTCATCTCTCTCAAAAGAAATAAACGTTAAAAAAAAAGTATGAGCTGAAGGATAACATCAGACCATACGCGCCAGAGAACTTCGCAGACATCAAAATATTGTGAGCACACACTTAGCGTCGATCGAGAGAGCCTGAAGGACCGCCACAGTGCACGTAAGTTAGGATTACATTCACGGCTTCGTGGTTTTAACAAAGGCAGGAAGGTGTTAGCCTCTGCATGGACTTACACGGCGAGTGCCATCAACCTGCAGAACCATGTAAGCTCCTACAGTCTTCAGTCTCCCGGACTTCTAGAATTCCATTCTGCACACAAAGCACTAAACAAGAAAATGAACGTTAAAGCGTGTTGTGACTACAAACTGGGCTGGGGAGAGAGGGGGCCAAAGAAGGAGGAAGGAACCGGAGAGGAGGCCAACTTCACCAGGGCCCGGGAGCGAGGGCAAAAAGCTCTGCTATGGAAAGACAGGAGGGAGGAGCGGGCACAGGCGGCAGGGGGACACGGCAGCTCTGAGGCCGTCGGTGCAACACGCGGGGGGACGGAGGGTCAGACAGGACTGAGCCGAGAAGACGGGTCTCCGCCCGGGCTCTGCCGCATCCCAGCCAGTGGATCTAGGAAACCCTCGGGTTCTCCACCTCGACAACGCGGACAGTTGACCTGCCGGCTCTCCCTGCCTCACGGGGCGGCTCGGAGTTACGTGGCAAGGTGCGTCAGAGGCTTGGAGACGCGGAAGCAACATCAGAGCAGGAGGAGAGCTTGGGGCGGGCTGTGGATTTCACTCCTTGTAGAGGCTGAAAGCTCCCTGGGAGTCACGGGAGCAGATCAGGGGACGAAAAGGATAGGTCTGACGGTGGTGGCCAGAGTGGCCTGGAAGGGGAGAGGCTGGAGGCGCAGAGAGCAGGTAGGGCAGGGGTCACATGCACCTGAGTGCCAGCACTGCATGGAATGAACCAGAGCAGCCGGCAGA